AGTCTGATTGTTCGATTGTCTGATTGTGATTCTCTGATTGTCCCGGAAAATCTATACTTTAATTGTTTTATAGGCGATACTTGCCGAGCTAGCAGAATCAGCAATAATCGTACCTATCGAGTTCATTACCTCATAGGTGAACTTTCAAGTCCGATGAATTCTGCCGGAAAAGCTTACTAGGTTCCTGTCTGTGAAATTTGAAACGGGTTTGAATTACATATTATGTTATGTGAATGACTTTGGATATTATCTACTGAGGACTTTGATTTTCTTATGGATATTTCTTAATAAATTGATTGAATGGTTCCTTTGGTATACCAGGTGTGACACGTCTCCTCCCCTCCGAAGAAGCTGCCCCAGCTTCTAATAATGAATTGCCTGACTGCCTATTTATGTGTGAAAAACAAAACAAAACCAATATATAAATATACAAGTATATAAAAATAGAACAGAAAAATCATACCAAAATTGAAATATTGATGAATAAAGTTCAGTTGATTGACGCAAAAAAATAATAAAAAAATCATATATAAAATTCTGAATCAGATGACAATAATTATTGAAACGAAAAACAACAAAAAAATAATAATAATCAGAGAACATATGAGTTTATGCTAATGTTCCACAAAACCAGTTTCTACACTGAGCACTTATCAGTTCCGCACTGAGCCCGGCACTGTCCAGTTTTCAACGCTGCTATCCCATGGCAGGTCGGTAAGTTTTAAACGGACCTACCCATTGTCCGCTTCGGCGGAATCCTCCACCATCTCTTGCTGCCGCTGGCGCTGCTTATTCCCCAGCTGCCTGGTCGACTTTTGTATTGAGTGTTCTGAGGAGTCTGTGCTCTGTTCAGGATTATGACTTGACAATCTCGACATACTTTTCTTCCTTTTGTATCGAGTGGGCAGATGGTTGGCTGTTGGCTATGGGCTATCACTGCTATCAGGGTTAGTAGTACTGTGGTACTGTGGTAGGGCTACTATTTGCTTCTTCTGAAGACAATTTCATACTGTTGTGGGGAGACTACGGCGCCAATTCGGAAGTGAAATGTGGAAATTCATGAAAATGTTCCAGCGAGTTGGAAAAAGAAAATAAGTTGACATAACAAATGATACATTTTCACTATTGTTCTTTGTTTCGATTTGATAGGCACTTGATAGGAAACAAGAAAATATTTTCTCTTCTCTTCTGGATCAGAAGCTACCTGACAGACTGACACAACAAAATCCATTTTTGTGGTCTCGCCCGGTTGCTCATCGCATCTGTCATTCCTTATGTTCCGTGTTCTGTGACACAGCCAAACATAACCACAGATTATCTCGTACCTCAAGATCTGTTGCTTCCGTTGAGAGAAAAACATCTGCATCGACATATTTTTTCTTTCAGAATCTTGCATCTCTGAATCAGCATTTTTCGGTTTTATCTCGGTCCTCAAAACAACGCCCTAACACCAGATTCCGTTTGCGTGTTCGGTACGGTTTTTCGGTTTGTTTGAATCTATTTTTGATTCCTGGTGGATTTTGAGAGTATCTAGTTGCTTATTTCGGTTGATGATTCCATAATATGACAGTGATGATGAACACTAGTGCATTCATGTGATTATAACTGGTCTGCTACTACATCTCAGGATATTCTGCTTGGTAAGCGCATTTCTTCCTCCATGATGGCTTCTTTTAAAAAAAAGTGTCCTTCTGTTTCTCCTAGGTTTGGATATTCAGGACTTTCTCTGGCTGACGTCTGGCAAGATCATAGTTGACTTTTTGGCCCCCCTTGCCTTCTGGTACCCCTCTGTAGGATGGTTTGGGAGCTGATACATTGTTGTAAGTTTATACTTATCACGTTTTCGATTCATTTATTGTTCTCTCCTGTGCCTATGTTTCCTTATTCTCACATTTCATGTCCTTTATTTGTAGGTTTCCCAGTATGTCGCAGTCATTGCCCTTCAGAGCTTTCAGCCTCCTGTGTCGAACAACTCAATAGGTGGTGCTACTGGATGGATGGTGTTTATTGGACATTGCTGCTCGTGCTTCGGTCTGACGTGCGGTTTGTGGCTCACATGGAACAAGAGAAAAATTTACAGCAGTAAGTGTACTTTCATTTTTATATAAACAATACCCATTTTTGACTATACTACATACCCATATTGAACCTACATTCACATTTTTCTTTACAAAATACCTTCCCATAGTGACATACCTAAATAAATTTTACCTATAGTTCTTCATATGACCACCTAGTACCTGAATTACTGCCCTGTTATCTTTTGTTATTTGAGAACTGTCCCTACTCTCTATTATCGTGATATGTTCTCTATCTCATTCATTTATGTTTTAATAATTCTCCAAAATCTAATAAAAAGGTTTCTCCCGCTAACTCATCTTCAACTCTTCATCTTTTGACTCTTCCATTATATTATTCTCTATCCCAATGTCTTAATTCGATAGGAGGAAA